GTTGAGTATAGTGTTAGCGGTGGGCTTATCATAGATGGCCTTCATTATGTTGAGTTATATCCTTCTATACCTAATTTGTTGGGAGTTTTTATCAAGAATGAATGCTGAATTGTGTCAAATGCTTTTTCTGCGTCTGAGATGATATTATGATTTTTATCCTTCATTATGTTAATATAGTGTGTAATACTTATTGATTTGCAAATGAGGAACCATCCTTGCATCTCAGGGATAAATTCTACTTGATCAAAGTGTATGATTATTTTGATGAGCTGTTGAATTCAATTCACTTGTATTTTGTTGAGGATTTCACATGTATGTCTATCAGGGATATTGGCCTGTATTTTCCTTTTCTTGCTGTGTCCTTTTCTGGCTTTGGTATCAGGATAATCCTGGTCTCATAAAATGAGTTTGGGAGTGTTCTCCCCTTTTCCCCCTGCTGTGAGCCTCCTCCCCTTTTCCGTGCTCATAGCTGCCCCCAGTGATTGAGCCATTCTGATTCCCTCAGTGTACTGAGTTGGACAAGGTAGATGTGGGCCTCCTAAGCAGTGCCTCACAATGCTGGGGAAGCCAGGCATTCACTTAGCTCTCACTTTTCCCTGTGGGAGAAATCACTGGCCGAGGGGGTCTCTCTTGGCACTGAGCTGTGATGCCTTGGAGGAAGGGTAACACAGATAAAGTGGAACTGTTCTTCTTACCTTCACCTGCATCTATTCTTGGATGTTTTGCTCTAATGAGGTGCTTGAACCTCTCAATTGGACTCCCGAACTCCCATAAAGTTATTCTTGTCCATGGGCAGTTGTTCAAATCAGTGCTTCTGTGGGGGTTGAGGGCTGGAACTTCCTATTCCACTATCTTGCTGATGTCACTCTGAGCCATTTATATTTTAGTAATATTTATTTATTTATTTATGGTCTTTTAAAATATTTATTTAAACTGCAATATAATTCCGGTTCTGTTGGAATTACATTTCCACATAATTTTGTTTTCCAAGCTAAGTTTCAAGATGCTTGAGGACAGGACCATTCTTTATTATTCATCACAACCCCAATTTACCTCAGATGGTGCTATGCCTAATAAAATCTTCCAAATGTGTTAATCTGATTTGATTTATAAACACTAAAGTAAATGTAGATGGGATTAAAACAATATAAGCATAAGAATTAAATTTATATTTTCTTTTTAGTAATAATGATATGCCAGCGTTTAAGTACTTTCTTATAATAGAGCTATGAAAAATGTCTAATAGTGAATAATTATGCATTTCATTAAAGAGGAAAAAACTAGAAAGAGTGAAAAGGTAAAGATGATGCAGTGATGTGTTATTTGAAAATGTTGATAGAATTAAACAAAAATGTTTTCTTGTATCTCTTTATAACTCTCTGTGTAGAAAAATCTCCTTTTTATCACAGCAACTGATTTTCAAATGAGCTATGCCTTCAGATCATGTCTGACCAGTTATTGGTGATACTTTATTCCCTTTCCATGAACCTGCTGCAATGATTCAGATATTTTCTTTTCAGTCTCAGTTTTATTACTGTTTTTCTCTGCTCCACTACTTTTCACCACCACTATGTTAGGTCATTGTTCAAAAAAATGATCACAACTGAACTTACCTAATCTAAAGCAGATTTAGACTGTAAATAAGAGTCTGATACAATTTGTAAACACTCCCTGGTTCCAGAAATCCATTCTTCATTTGTAAATCCCCAGAGCTACAGCTGTACGGTTGATCATTATCTATAGTACACAAAGCCAGAGTGTGATTACACATATTTTGTAAAATGGGAACTGCTGACAACTCAACCCAGTAGTTATTTCCCAGTGAAAATATATCTGTATGATACATATATATATATATATAGCCATAATGTATACTGTTATATATCTAGTAATTAATTTCTTAATGACTCACTAAATATTTTTAGTCTTTTTTTCTTATGACACAATCTTAAGTTTCCCCAAGAGCTATGCTAATTTAGGCAGATATTTAAATAGAATCACTTCATTATGCTTGTTTTTTAGTTGTCTTGGGAACAATGTAATAACAGTAGTAAGAATTTCATTCTAGAAATGAAAAAGAAAACATTTTGAAGATGTTTAAGCTGTTTAAAGATCAAATTTGGAAGACAATATAAACTGGCTAATTGATTATGAATAATATATTGGTGCACTAGGTGATAGAAAGATAGATGGATAGATACCTAGATATATAGGTACATACATAGATATTTATATGCCAGTGAATTTCATTATTGTGGATTTAACTGCTGAAATAGATTTTCAGGTTGGAATTTATCAAATATTATATGCATTGCAATAGTAGCAGCATTTTAAAAGAAATCGCTAAATTACCTATGGCAATGAAGCATCTGTTCTAATAGATCTCTTAATGTAAAGGTTTGCTTAGTACATGACCTGGATAACTTTGCTGAATTTCCTTACCAAGATCAGTACTAATGATGTTGCAGTGCTGCTTTCAGAAAATTAAATGTTATGCCTTAATATATCAGAAATTAAATGGTAATTCTTTATAGAAAATAATAAGAGATCAGGAAACATACTGGTTGTGCTTTTTTCTGAATGATGTGACTTCAGATTTTTGCCTTCACAGAGTTACCTTCTTTGGTTGAAAACATAATTCCAATATCTGGTTAAGGTCTGATCTGGTAGCTTGGTTCTTTGGTTCCCCCAGCACTGTGATCTGTATATGATACTGAAGCTTCTTGAATATGCCCACTTCTCAAGATACAAAGTAATTTAAAAACTTATAATTTATACATTTAAAATTTCAAAATATATGTATCTCCCAGGGTTTGGTCATCTCTTCTTTTCTATCAGTTTTACCCCTCTAGGTGACTTATCCAGTCCCCTAACTTCTAATATTATCTATAGTGAACATTCTTCAGCCTTTCTCTCTCTTCTCTGCTTCAGATTTATATTTGATGTCTCCATCAATAACATAAATTAAATAAAGTGTCTATTTGATTTCTCCACTTGGGTCTCAAAACATAATTATCCTCTCATCTTCCTGTTGTCCTCCCATTCTCCTCCTCCACTCTTCCTCATATCAATAAATAGTATCACATCACTCTGTTGATTAAACTAACTTAGGAATTATCATTATTGTCTTTCTCTCAGCTCCCATACCTTACCCACCAGCAGATCCTGTTATTTTTTTCCAAAATAACTCTCATTTGCATTGCTACTGTGCTAGTCCAAGAAATCTTCAGTCATCTGGGCTGATGCAATAGTCTATTTAATGGTTTGTCTGTTTCTACCTTTGCTCCCTAATTAGCTATTTTCCACACAGCAGCCAGAGTGATCTTTTAAAATTCATGGCAATTCATGGCATCCTTCTGCTCAAAATCCTCCAATGGCTTCCCATTGCACTTAGAATAAAATCTAACCTGTATATAATATAGTCTCTACGTAATATGGTCACTGCCTCCCTCTCCAGTCTTAATGCTTATCTCTCTCCTCCTCATTGACTTTGCTCTAACCACACTAAGATGCTTTAAGTTCCTGGAAAACACCAAAATTATTTCCACCCTTGAAGATTTGCATCTGTTTTTCACCCTGCTTGGAGCTCTCTACCCTCTGATCTTCACATGCCTAGCTTCCTTTTTTTGTTCAAGTCTCAGCCCAAATGTCTTCTTCTCAGAGAGACTTTCCCTGACAATCAATCTAAAGAAGTACCTCAGTTCTCTCTATTTTATGCACTGGTTTATTTTATGCATGGCACTCATCTCTACCTGAATTTATCTTGCTTGTATATTATTTTTCTCTTCTCTAAAATATGAACTTTATTTTGAACAGTGACCTTTCTTGCCCTTTCATCACTCTATCTCCAACCCTGAGAAGAATAATTGAAACACACTAGATATTTATCCTTGGGAGGGTAGGGGCACGTGAGAGACAGAGAGACAGAGATAGTGTATGTATAGTATGATACTGAAGTGATTGATACTTAATCCACATTCCCCCTAAACTGGATTAGTTTATAGGATTAGTCTATAGCATTCTTGGACACAAAAAGATTCTTTGGGCAAATGAGTTTGGAAGATTCTGTTAGAGATTTATAAAATTTTTTAGTCTATTATTCTGTAAAGTTTCACGGTAAAGAAGCTTATTTAATCATATTTAATCAAATGAATCCTAAAGTTAGTTGGCCCTGGAAGATTTTTTTCCGCTCGGAAGATTTTTTTCCGCTCTTTGACATATTAACTTTTGGAAATGCTGGTCTAAATCAATACGGTATCCCACTTGGAAAAGAAGTAAGGTAACAAGAGGGTAACATCTTTTTTTGAAGTTGTTTAAAGTCTTGATGAATTAAAAAAGATATATGTGTTTTGAGAATTTTGTAGAGAATTAGAAATAACTACACTGAGAGAAGAGACAAAAAATATGCTGAAGAGAAAATTTAGTACACAGTAGATAAGTAACTGAGTAGAAATCCACAAAACAATAACAATAGCAAAAATAAAAGAGGAAAAAATGGATACTTTCAAATAATTACAGATTTACAAGAATAATATTGGGAGATTTTGAACAGAAAGTAATGTAGTCAGATAAAAAAGTATAACTATCAAACTTGTTCTTTAGAAAACCTATAAAAGATAGAATAACATGAAGATGAATATCCTGGTTAGAGTTAGAGAAAGTTGATGTAAAACCAGAAGTTCAAAGTTAAATCAAGGGAGAGATTCAAGAGATTAAATTGAGAGAAATAAGTCCGTGAAATTTATATTTTACACGATGTGGAGGGATAGTTTTAAAAAGTTTCTTTTTAAAAAATCTGATTTTCAGCAACATAAAATTTTACTAACATGGCTATAGTGCTTTGAATTTTCATCATATATTTATACTTTGCTTTAAAGCTTAGATGAGGAGTAAATACATATGTTAAAGAAAATCTTGTCATAGATAGGGAATGTATTGTAACTCCCAAATGAAAAAAACTGTATATTTGAATTCCAAGGTCGCTGTCTACCTATCCACAGAATCACTGTTATATTTTTAAACCTCATTCCTGGAAGCACTGCAGATGTCAGATCAATTTAGAAAGCCAAAGAGTACCTCTGGGAACGACATGGCAGCAACTGAAATAGTATTTGGCCAAATTAAGACTGTATGCCAAGGATGCCAAAACTCACTACCTGGCAGGTATGTAGCTATTATTTAACTGTATGATCATTACTGGTTTCTCTGCTGAAAAGCTATTGGCTGTTCATGCAGTGAAATGGAGCCCATGATTTAGGCAGCATATCTCTCTGTTTGGATGTCAGGAGTAGCTGGTTGGGGACAGTACCCAATCACAAAATAGGATTTCTCAAGCAAACTATTTTCAAAAAAGCTTTTAACAAGTTATGTTATAACTTACTTAGAAACAGAAATGGAAGAATATCAATTTAGGAATTATTTTTGGCTACAGATTCTTAATATTCAGAATGGTGTTCATACTCTGGACTATTTATATATTTCTTTCCTTCTAGTACAAACAGATAGGCCTGATCTTAGTGTTTACTGAAGAACTTTTCAATTTTAAATGTTGATTCTGTAAGACAACTAATAAGATAATTATGGTTTCAAATAATTTTCTCTATACATTCGTGGTTCCTACATCTCTGTTGTCTCATCTGCATGCTGATCTTATGGTCAACGTTGCTGTTTGGAAAGAACTTCACTTTCATAGTTCTTAAAATCCCAAATTTGCCAAAGTTGCCCACATCCTGGGAAATGCAGCATGTGTTCTTAAATTTAGGAGAGTTGATATTATGTATAAATAGTCTCCTTCTCTGGATCTCCATTATTGTCCTCATAATGGATAATGCTCAGTGGACTACATTATATTTTAAAGTGGGAATATCTGCTATTTTGAAACTGCTGGAATTTTTCTATTTCGTCATCAAGGGAGAATTTGATACTAAAGACATCACTTCAAAATTATAAATGTATTATCTTGAAAAAATCATATTAGGATACTAATTTCATTTTTGTAAAGTTTAGATGTAATCGAATAGTCTCATTAATTATACTCGTAGGTAGTGGAAAGACCATTAAATTTGACCTGTGCTTGTGTCCTGCCTCTTCCAGGTAGAGTGTATTTGGTCAAGTCACTTCTCTTAAATTTAGTTCTTTGATTAATAATGTTAGTCTAATTAATACACCTTACTATGAAATAATATTGTTTGTAAAAAAATGCAAAGAATTATTACTATCATCATCATCTTCACCATAACCAATTTACATCATTATAATTATCATCAAATTTAATGGAGTCCCTGGAAGATTCCAGAACTGTCACACTCACAAACATTATATACAAATCCAAACCCACTATTTATGGGTTTAGAAGGCAGAATTCAGAATTAATACACCATCAACTAGCAAATATAATTTTGACTATTTTTGATCTAGTCTATACTTGTAACTGCCAAAATTTCTCAACAACTATCTTGGACAAATAAAAGCGATACAGAAGCTATAGATTTGGAAGGTACAAATGTTTAATTCAAGTAAAATAAATTATTAGGTGCTTCTAGGCTGTTTCATGACCAAGTTGAAATCATACCATTTGTGCTGGACAATATTAATGTAATGTAAAATTAAATTATTAAATAATCCAAAAATTGTCTAATTAAATACACAAATGTAAGTGTTCTTGGCAAATTCAGTGATCAGCATTGTTGAGGGCAAATTCCAAATATAGGATGCAAAATAAAGAAAAACACACAGAAATCTGGCAAATAAAACTGTGAATCCTTTATCATTATCAGTTCAGTTTTTGCACTGTATATTTTCTGATTTTTGCGTTGATTTTGTGTTTTCATATATACATAAGAAACACATAACATGCTAAAATATAAAAAACTAAGCTTGAATAGTTTGTGAATAGTCAGGTCATTCAATCATCCATCCATCTATCCATCCATCCACTGAGAAAACGAACATGTCTAAGTATCTATTTTCAGTTGACATTGTAAATACAAGACTAAATGTCACGGCTTGGTGTCTCATAGTCCAAAAGGCAAGGAAGACTTAAAAATAATGATTAAAATCTAGTATGATAAGTGTTACTACACACACACACACACACACACACTCACAGCATATATAGTGTTGGACAAAGAATAGTGTAATTTCAACTTTGCGACAGGAAAGGCTTTTTGTGATAAGGAAGGCTTTAGAGAGGAAAAATCACTTGAACTAGGTTTTGAAGTCTAACAAGGGGATTTCCAAGCACTTAAGACCGAGTTGTTTACTCCAGGAGGGAGAAAAAATCATGTGCAAAGGCAGAGAGGAGGAGCATATGGCCTGAGATGAATGAGGTGAGACAAGGTATATGATGAAGACAAAGGCAGAAACTAATCATGGAAAACTTTGTAATTTCATTTAAGGAGTTTGGAGTTTAGACTACAGCTAATATAGCACCCCTGATGCTAATATAGTATTTGAATAACAAAGTCTCATTTTCATTTTTGAAAATTCATATGAGAGCAGTAGGTCTAATGAATTGCGAGTGTGTAGAGTAAAGGCAGAGAATTGAACTAGGAGATTACCACATAGTTTTACAAAACATAATAAGGACCTAAATTAAGCCAGTGAAGTGAAGATAAACAAGAAAATATGGTGAAAAAAATTGTTAGGATATAGTAATCCATTACATGTGAAGTCAGGACAGTGAGAGAGAAGGAAGACTGCCCGACGACTCTATGATTTCAGGTTTGGATAGGAAGGCAATATAATTTTTTATCCAAATCAGAAAACTTCTGAAAGTGAAAGGGGGTTCTAAAATAATCAAACATTTATTATGTTGACATTTATTTCTTAATGAATTTGTTGGCTTTTATATTAGTGAAGACATAAAATACTTTTATTCAAAAACTATTTTTAAAAATAAAATTATTTGTATAAATAAAAATGTGCACCTATGTATATCAAAGCAAAGCAAACATTAAAAAACTTTACATAGGTGGAATGATTATCTTTGGTTCACATCCATATACTTTAATCAATTTCTTAGCCATATCTGTCTCTAAAACCATGTCACTGAAGAATGTATTTTTAAATGTGTCCAATTTTTGTTTTGTTTTATTTTAAATAAAATTTCTTGTAATCTTTTTCAAAGTTGCATTTTATGGTTAATCAATTTGAAGTAATTGACTGCTTCTATTCTTAACATTCTATAGGCCAGAAATATTTTTAGATGAGAAAATCCTTCTGTATTTTTCCTAAGGTACATGTAAGCTCAGAGTTAATTCTGCTAAATGAATGATATTCTTCACTCTACATTTTTTATTGAAACGTAAAAATTTTAGCTCAAGTGTTTTCAACAGCACTGCCTTTTCACTTTTATTCGAAGTAACTTTTTCAACAAATAGTTTTATATAAAATTCATCTAATAAGATGTCTCTATAATTCTTTTCAATGTCTTGTCAAACTTAGATGCTGCGAAAAAACAAAGGCCTTCTCAATTTCATTCTATTCTGGTACGGAATATAAATTTATTCAATTAAAAAAAAGAGAACCTTTAAAAGTTTTTTTCAGAACACAAGTTATTTTGGAACTCAAGTGTAGATTTTCAAATTTCCAAAAATAAATTATGTACCCTGTTTGAGCTCTCATCATCTGATTTTCCAAGTTCCTTTTTTGTGTTTGTTTCTGTAGGAAAAATATTGTATTCTTTCTATTTCCAAGTTATGGTTTCAATTTTCTGAAAGTGTCCAAGTTCACAATTTTTGGCAATTTAAAAAGATTTCTTTTTCTTTTCTTTTTTTTTTTTGTGAGGAATATCAGCCCTGAGCTAATATCTGATGCCAATCCTCCTCTTTTTTCTGAGGAAGCTTGGCCCTGAGCTAACATCCGTGCCCATCTTCCTCCACTTTGTATGGGATGCCAGCACAGCACGGCTTGCCAAGTGGTGCATCGGTGCACACCCGGGATCCAAACCCGCGAACCCCAGGCCACTGCAGCAGAGCACATGCACTTAACCGCTTGCGCCACCGGGCCGGCCCCTAAAAAGATTTCTAACAAAAAAATGTTTGGGAAAAAAAGTAACCAAAACTTAGAAAACCCTTTCACAATATAGTTTCATACCGTTGTAGGAGACTTAGATTGGTTTAAAAAAAAGTTATTTTTTAAAGGCTAAAACATTTCTATAGATTTATTGTTGATGGACAGCAAAGAGGGAAAATGTGAAAAGCCTCTTAATGAGTCAGTGTGTTTGTGTATGTACAGAAGCTAGAGCATACAGCTTGGTATTTAGATTGGTAAAATATTACAGATTGGATATAATTATTAATTTTGTGTGTATACAACCAATTCCAAATATATTTACTCTCCATATATTTCTTAATTCAAAAAGAATATTGTCTTTACTACAACTTCGTGATCTACAAACATTTATATTTTCTCTCTAAAAGCATATCATTTTAATCTTCAAGGTTGAAATTTTAACTGTTTTAGAATCATAATCACAGTAACCTCAGGTGTTTCACCATAGAATAATGAACTTCCAAAAGCTTTGCTTAGAGTCCATGAATTACATGAAAATATAACTATTATTGGAATAAGTCTAACTGACTTTCTATTTGAAAGAACTGTTGAGACTAATAAAAACCACTCATCATTTAACCAAAGAAAATTCTTCTTTGGAAAATAGAGCCAACCCATGAACAGTTGTTGCTGTTCCTTTAGCAACAGTTATTGCTGTTATACGTTTTGTATATACGCAAGAAAACTTGAGATTGGAAAAGAGTAAAATTAATTTACAATAGTCATTTATCTAAATGAAAAGTCACATTTCACAGAGTATTATGTAAACCTACTTTCTATAACTATATTAATTAAATTATGATTTACTGGCATGGTATTCTTTTCAAAATTTTAAACTAAATGCTGTCACTTCTGCAGATTTATGGTGGACGATAAATGTCAACAAGTATTTTGTGCAAGTAATGTATTTTTCACTAAACATCTATTTCTTAGATTTTAAATTTTTTAGTTGTTTGCTGCTAAGAGTTTATTGCAAAATGAAATTTCCAGCAATCAGTGGAATTTGTTATAAATATTCAGATAAAATATAGAACAAAACCACTATAGCAAGGGTGTGATGGCTACTATACACCGTATGGCAGGACCCCTTAGCCTCTATTTCCTACATACATTTCATGTACACTTAACCTTTACTTTGCCACATTTCATGCAACCCCTGCTAAGTGGAGGTTTCAGCAATTTTGTGAAACTCACAGGCCGTGGGACAGGCCAGGCACAAGTGGCTGGGATATCAAGTGGCCAGCAAGGACAATAGTTTCTATTACTTCTTCCACTACCACTTGCGACTAAAAAAAAGGTACCTATCTGTGCTGCTTATGTCTGAGAACATTTTGTTTTATCATGCATACAATACTATGTGTGGTTATTGTCTCTGGAAAGGATCAGGAAAAGAAAGATGTGTTACTACTAGTCTTTTTTCCCCAGATTAATTACATGTTAAAGTGAATATTCTATTGACTTAATTGGTTGTCACACACTACTAAATGACACCATGGCAGTACCTGGAAACAAAAAAGTGAAAGTTTACCAAATCCATGTTATTTTAAGGCAATTCTTAACAATAAAAATTCTTAAATTGAAAAATATGTTGAAAACTTAGAACAAGTACTAAACTGAATAGGGTGCAAGAACAACAAGAATAAACTAGTGCTTTCTTAGGCTAACCAATAGGTAAAGTCATCCTAGATATGGGTGAGTGGTCCATTAACTGATCTAGGTAACGAAGAAATAGTTTTAAGTTATGATGATAAGTTCAACCTGGATATGATGAGTTGTTGGTAACTGTGGTGGCAATGCCCAGGAGATATTTGGAAATATCACTTTGGAGAACAGTAGAGTGGTGAAAGACAGCAATACCATGTAAGATGAAAGATTAGGTAAGACATTTTCAGCACTAACATTTATTGAGCATTTCATTGGCAGTTTCTGGGAACAGGACCAATGGTCTTTGCCTGGATATTGACAACAAAGGAGAGAATGTAATGTTATTACTTTACTCTAAATGATTTGTGTATTAGTTTCCTGTAGTTGCTGTAACAAATTACCACAAACTTGGTGGTTTAAAACAACAGAAATTTATTCTCTCACGGTTCTGGATACCAAAAGTCCACAATCAGTGTCACTGTACCTGAATCAAGGTGTTGTCATGGCCACATTCCCTCTGGAGGCTCTAGGGGAGAATATGTTCCCTGCCTCTTCCAGCTTCTGGGGGCTGCCAACATTCCTTGGCACATGGCCACCTCGCTCCAGTCTCTGCTTTTGTCATCACATTGTTTACTTCTCTTCTTCCTCTGTGGTAAAATCTCCCTCTGCTTCCTTCTAAGGATACATGTGATTACATTTAAAACCCACTCTGATAATCTGGGATAATCTCCCATTTCAAGATCTTTAATTGAATCACATCTACAGAGTTCTTTATTGCATATAATGTAACATTCACAGATTCCAGAATTAGGATGTGGATTTCTTTCTGTGTGGGGGCTATTATCAGCCTACCGTAACTTGTATCTACCTAATCAACATCAATGTCTGGATTTTTCATCCTATCTCTATCATCATCCCTGAATATGGAAGACTTGGTACCAAAAAAAGTAATGTAAAGGGGCTGGCCCAGTGGCTTAGTGGTTAAGTTCGCGTGCTCCACTTCAGCGGCCCGGGGTTTGGGGGTTCAAATCCCAGGCACAGACCTACGCACTGCTTATCAAGCCATGCTATAGCGGCATCCCGTATATAAAATAGAGGAAGATTGGCACAGATGTTAGCTCATGGCCAATCTCCCTCACCAAAAAAAAAAAAAAAAAAGTAATGTAAAATATCATTTTTGTTGATTATGAGTTTAAATGACATTTTGGATATATTGTATCAAATAATATATATTAAAATAATCTTACTTAAAAAAATTTTTTTGCAATATGGCTACTAGAAAATTTAAAATTGCATGTGAAGTTAACATTCCATTTCTAGAATGTGTAAGTTTAAATCTCTTCATCTTGTAGAGAAATTGCTATTTTCTTACAAATAATTAAAATTTCTGAAAACTGCACACTAATTAAATGCTCAATTTTATTCTACAGATGTACTTTGCTCTATTGTAATCCATATTTAGTCAAACTGTTTACTGCTGCTTTTCTCCATTTCACAGCAACAAACCAACAGGACTTCATGTGAAATCATTGACTACCATGTGCTCTTTCAGCCTCCATCAACTCCTAATTCTAGGCACCTGAGAGCCAAAGCAAACCACAAGGAGCCACAGGCACTCGCTCTCAACCGTGATGAAGCATCTCACAAAGGCAGTATCGCACTCTGAGTGTCCGACTGACTGGCAATCTCTTAACTGAGAGAAGATCAACTAATTTTGAGGAGTTTGACTTTTTTTTTCAAAAGAAGTCAAATTCTAAAGGGTAAAGGGTGGTGAGGAAATATGGGAAAATGTTTATGCAAGAGTCTTCCAGGAAAGGAGGTTTGAGATTTGAGGAGACCTGTGTGTAGGACTGAGGGAAGAGTTGGAGAGGAGTGATCAGAAGAGAAAATCTAGGAGGTACTGAGCAGTGAAGGTCTGTTGAGAGGGAGAAGAAGAAAGGACACAACTATTTTTCAAGCCCCTACCGTGTGCTGGGTACTTTCATATGTTATTCAAAAAACATTTATAATATTCATTTTTGGAGGCAAAAAATTTGAGGTACAGAAAGATGAAATTTTTCCAAGGTCATGCAGCTGTTAAGTATCAAGGGCAAATTTAGAGTCCATTGATTGGTGAGTGGGTATTCTTTTAGAGCCTTAAAGCCGAATAGCTAAAGGAATCCTGAGAAAAAAGAACAAAGCCGGAGGTATCACACTCCCTGATTTCAAAATATACTACAAAGCTATAGTAACCAAAACAGCATGGTACTGGCACAAAAACAGACACACAGATCAATGGAGTAGAATCGAAAGCCCAGAAATAAACCCACACATCTATGGACAGCTAATCTTTGACAAAGGAGCCAAGAACATACAATGGGGAAAAGAAAGTCTCTTCAACAAATGGTGTTGGGAAAACTGGATAGCCATATGCAAAAAAATGAAAGTAGACCCTTACCTTACACCATACACAAAAATTAACTCCAAATGGATTAAAGACTTGAATGTAAGACCTGAAACTGTGAAAGTTCTAGAAGAAAACATAGGCAGTACGCTCTTCGACATCAGTCTTAGCAACATCTTTTCAAACACCACATCTGACCGGGCAAGAGAAACAATAGAAAAAATAAACAAATGGGACTACATCAAACTAAAAAGCTTCTGCACAGCAAAGGAAACCATCAACAAAACGAAAAGACAACCTAACAATTGGGAGAAGATATTTGCAAACCATACATCTGATAAGGGCTTAATCTCCAAAATATATAAAGAACTCATGCATCTCAACAACAAAAAAACTACCAACCCAATTAAAAAATGGGCAAAAGACCTGAACAGACATTTCTCCAAAGAAGATATACAGATGGCCAACAGACACATGAAAAGATGTTCAAAATCACTAACTATCAGGGAAATGCAAATCAAAACTAGAATGAGATATCACCTCACGCCCGTCAGAATGGCTATAATTAACAAGACAGGAAACAACATGTGTTGGAGAGGTTGTGGAGAGAAGGGAACTCTCATACACTGCTGGTGGGAGTGCAAACTGGTGCAGCCACTATGGAAAACAGTATGGAGATTCCTCAAAAAATCAACGATAGAACTACCATATGATCCAGCTATTCCACTGTTGGGTATTTATCCAAAGAACTTGAAAACACCAATTTGCAAAGGTACATGCACCCCTGTGTTCATTGCAGCCTTATTCACAATAGCCAAGACTTGGAAGCAACCTAAGTGCCCATCAAGGGACGAATGGATAAAAAAGCTGTGGTATATATACACAATGGAATACTACTCAGCCATAAGAAACGATGAAATCCAGCCATTTGTGACAACATGGATGGACATTGAGGGCATGATGCAAAGTGAAATAAGTCAGAGGGAGAAGGTCAAATACCGTATGATTTCCTTCATTAAGTAGTAGATAATAACAACAATAAACAAACACATAGGGACAGAGATTGGATTGGTGGTTACCAGAGGGGAAGGGGGGAGGGAGGAGGGTGAAAGGGATAATTGGGTACATGTGTGTGGTGATGGGTTGTAATTAGTATTTTGGTGGTGAACATGATGTAATCTATGCAGAAATAGAAGTACAATGATGTACACCTGAAATTTTTACAATGTTATAAACCAATGTTACTGCAATAAACAAAAAATTTAAAAAAAAATAAAAATAAAAAAAAGCTAGATTAAAAGGTGAATCTTTGAGAGTGGAAAACATGGCAAGTGACTTGAGAAAATTTTGGTCATTTCAATGGTAGAAGTCTATGTGTGATTGGAGTGGGGGAGAGGAGAGGCAGGCCAGGAAACTGTTCATACTTGGAACCATTTGTGACAGTTGTGGGAACACACAACATCTAAAGGGCTCAGAAGAAATGGGATGTTTGTTAGCCTTTTAATTAGTCAAGGTTTTGAACTTGACGAGTTCCCTAGCATCCCACTATATTTCTAGTAAGCATAGACCTGGGGATTTTTAGATAAGTGCCCATAAGAAATATAGGCATACTTAAGCTTTAGCCTCTCATGGAACTAAAAGAAACATAGTCAAAAGACGAGTTCAAGTTTTAGGTAGTTCGCTGTAAAAATCAAAGTATTAATGGGACTACTCCAGCTCATAATTATGTGATTTAAAGGTACCATAACATCACCTCACCCTTCAGAATTCCCAATTATGTACTTCTCAACTTATGCTATTCTCCTTAGAAATCATTTTATTTTCATTTCACCCACAAACTTCAAAGGCTCAACACCTTTTCTTCAAATATTAGCATTGCCTTCACTTCAGTGAATTTTTCCATCCAGCGGCTCTGAGTAATTTATTTTATTGATGCCCTTCCCTGGCACACTATTGGTCTCTAATCGCTTAAGCATCCAATCTATAAGTAGATGACAGAGTAGCTGCTGGAGACAAGGGATGAGAAGAAGAAAATTCTACACTAACAAACTTGACCCACCATAAATTTACAAAGTCCAAGTATAACTTTTATTCTTGCTGCTCTTTGGCAGCCTCCTTTCATTAACTGCTCAGGGTTTTCACTATTCTGAGTTCTCCATATCCTTCTTTTCTTCTAGCTGTTAATCTTGCCTCTCATTTAGCCAAAATTAAGACACTTGGCCCAGGCTCTCTCATTTCAATCAGTCACTGTCTCTACGTACGGATCTTTTAATCCTTCCCTGAGGTCTGAAGGAAAAAAAGCACTTTAAGCAAATATCTTTAAGCTCTATCTCAAATCCCCTTTTGTTTTCTTAAGAAGGTAATTGTCATTATTTACTTTTCTTCTATTATCTTTAATTTCTCCTTTTCTATTGACTCTTTTTTATGTCCTGATCATGGCTAACATTTTTTTTTAAGTTTTGGTAAATCAATAGGAGAAATAACATATCATTGTTCTTTAAATTGACCTTTCTTGAATAATGTGATTGGAAATTTAAATGTTTAGCAGTCATTTCATTTCTTACCCCAGTGAATTGTCTGTTGAATATCTATACCCCTTTTTGTATTGATAAATTAGTATAAATTTTGCAATGGTTTTTAAACTTGTTTATGAATTAAGCATTTGTCTATCATCTTTGTGACAAATTTTTCAGTTTGTTACATCTTACTAATGTTAAGAAATGGAAGAAATTTAAAAGGTTTAATCTTATGCATCACATTGGTCACCATTTCCCTTTGTGATATCTTCAAATGCTTCTATACTTAGAATGTCACTTGCTTTCCGTGTCTCAGATTAATATACATTTATATATTATTATATTTTTGTTTTTATTACTTTAAAGTTTTGAATTCATATAGAATTATTTTTCTCTTTCTTTTAATATTACCAGTTTATCATATGTCATCAAAATAACAAATCATCTTTGACTTGTCCAGCTTAATTCATACTCCATGTCATTAATTTAGAAGATACAGTTTTCCAAAATTAAATCAAATTTGAAAACCTTACTGATTTATTCTATTGGGCACAGGATAAGAATGTCATATTTATGTTCTTAGCACATAGTATAATCCTTAATGTATTATTTAATACTGTGTATAATACATAATAGGCTTTCAGTAAATGTTTGCTAAATTGGGTTATCACATTAAGTCAATGTCATTAATTGACATTGTCACATTAATTATTTTATTAATATAATCCTTTGCAGGGTCTTCTTAAACTATGCTTTTAACCAAGCCCACTTATATATCATTCAGTTGTCCTCATTCCTTACTTCTATATTCTTTCTTCTTTCTACCCAGCTTCAGATGATGTTAGCATAGTCTCCTCTTTGTTTCTTGTTCTAGAATTCAGCTGCCTGATTTCAAAGGGCATGTATTAACCCGGTGTCTCTTCTTCCTTTTGACCACTTTGGATGACCACCCATCTTCAGTCCCTAGATCTCCCTATCTGCATGAGCTAGTCTATGGGACTAGCTTTGTCCATTCACAAATATGGCAGCCTTCACTCCCAAAAAAGTCTCTACACTTTGAACTTTCCAATGTTACCTGCAGTAAGGAGGACACAAGAACATAGTTGCTTGGTTAATTACTTATTGACCATATATTTTATTTTATGAGAGTCATTTTGAATATGCTAGCTCTAGCAAAGTTAAGCAAATTCCTAATAGGAAATTATTAAGCAGATCGTGTTTGCTAAGGAATGGAGCTCTATAGTTGATACACAAACTATTAAAAAAAAAAAAAGAAAAGGAAAAAATGCCAATGGGAGAATAGGAGACCCTTGTTCTGGTATTATTTTTCTTAATATTGGAAAACAGCTTCCTATGTAGTCAGATGATCAAACTTTCTGAGACTACGTAGATTGAGTTAATAATTTAAAATTTCCTGAAGCAAATATTAGAGGATGGAAAGAAAGGACAGATAGAGAAGAATGAAAGGAACTGAACAAGGAAATAGTATGAAGATCTTGATTGAATAAAATTAAGCACCTAGTGTTGCCTTCTATAATTTTTTTAAGAAATAGACTTGAAGAAGAAGAAACAGGTATACATTTGTTTTAAGGCTAGTGAGAAGAAAAATAATGAGTCAGAGACTAAAACTTTGTGAGTATGCCATAAAACAAGATTTGTAGGAAGAACTGGGAGTGTGGGACAACAGTTTTACCAAAGGCTGCTTCTATGCAT